TAAGAAAAGCCATTAGCTTTTATCTTGTTTTCCCTCTTCTCTCAATTTTTCCTTCAGATGGATGCCTGCTTGCCACTTCGTAAACTGTCCCATAGAAAAGTCTATAGGAAAAGTATAAACAGCTAAAAGCTCAAGGTGGCCTCAAGTCTCAACTGCCAGAAATAAGCTAATAAGACTTCAGTCCAACAGTCAGCATGAGCTAAATCCTGCAACCACCACACAAGAAGTCGCTCTGCCTCAGTGAAGCCTGGAGAGGAATGCAGCACTGGCTAGTATCTTGAATGCAACCTTTGAGAGGTATCTAGCCTGAGCCAGATACCTCAATTAAGCTATGTCTGGGACCCTAACCAAAAGAAACTACAAGGTAATGAGTTTGTTGGTTTAAGAATTTGAATTTCATGATTGTCATTTCTATTTTTTTGGGGGGGCCACCAGAATCAAACTTACAATCTCCTACTTTCCAGGCAGGCATTACGCTGTATCTCCAGGCCAAAAAACTAAATTTTAAAACAGGTTGTTACACAACAATAGAAAAGTAAAAAAAATAAACTGTACATTTAAAAATGAAACCACGCTGGGTGTAGTGGCACATGCCTATAATCCCAACATCAGGAAGCTGTGGCAGAAGGATCATTCAAGGCCAGCCTGGACTACACAAGCAAGTTCAAATCCAGCCTGCACTACACGGTGAGACTGTCTCAAATAAAACAAAAATCCACATTTCTCCAATTTTCTCTCCTTACAAATTATTTTATTCAGTTCATTATCCAAACAAGGTGCCAACATAGTTTGATTTCTATGTCTTTTAAGTCTCTTGAAAAATATGTTATCTTTCCTTCCCTCTTTCCTTGCAATTTATTTGTTGAAACTGAGTTGTTTTTCTTATGGTTTCCAGCACATGTAATGTCACTTAATATGTTCTTTTTCTTATAAAATGGTAATTATAGATATAATTAAAGTTCACAATTAGAGGGCATGTGTTATTATTTGGATTTAAAATATCCCCTAAAACCCATGTGCTTAAATAAAGGGTTTGTTTTGGTCAGCTTTCCCATCTCTGGGACATAATACCTGACACGCAACATAAAGGGAGAAGTTTAATAACTTGGCTCACAGTTTCATGGGATTCAGTCCATGTCCACCAAAGCAGAAACAACATGGCAGAAGGACTCAGAATAACTTGGCCACTCATTTCATGGCAGTCAGGAAGCAGAGCTGGGGAGCATCACCACACAGAGAAAAAGAGGCAGAGACCACATACATTACTCAAGGTTATGGATCCGTGACCCCCAAGACACACTTAAGTACGTTTTATTAATCCCCTGGATGTTTCTTAATCCAATCAAGTTAATGTATCTTAATTAATGGTCAGGCTTAATTGACAATTGAGGGACTTTCTGATGATTGGATCATGAAAGTTCTAAACTCATCACTGGGATTATAATTTGATGGCAGTATTGGAGGTGACAGAAACAGAAGGGGCTCAGTTGAAGTAGTAGGTCATGGGGGCTTGGAAGACTTGGGGAACAATGGAACTTGCGTATCTTGTCTGTGCCCACCTATATGACTCCAAACTAGGAACTGTATCTAGTTTGGGACTGTATCTAGCACTCTGCCCCTTCCTAGTTGTTTCCTGTTCTCTGTTTGCTTCTCATGAAGAGGTAAACAGTTTTTCTCCCTGCCACACCCTGATCTTTCTGCCTCATTACAGGCCTATAACAAAAGAACCCCAGTACAAAAGCCTGGGGATAGTCCCCAAAACCACACACAAAACACTTGCCATTAGCTCAAAGCAATTCCTAGGACAAAGCTGTATGTTCTGGTTATGCTACTTGTCAGAGTGGTATTTTATATACAATAAAGTTACCTTTATTAGTATACAATTCTGAGTTTAAGCACCTGTAGTTGTGTAACTACTACCACAATCAAGATGTAGAACAGTTCCTCTATTCCCCTTTTTTCCATGCCCCTTTTGTCTATTAAATTTTTAAGAAACTCACAAATTTTAAGAGGTAAAAATAGCCCTGATTTTTAGGAACATTAAGGTTAATACATGTTTACTTCTTGAGAAGTAAATTTCAGTAATGGTATTGGGGCCGGGAATATAACTCAGTAGAATAGGCGCTTGGGGTTCTGAGTTCAACCCCCAGTACTGCAAAAATAATAATAATAATAAATAATGGTATCATTCATATTTGAGTAGTGAATTTTTGATCCTTAGTAAAGGTGCACAGAAAAGAATGATGCTTTTTTGCCTTACAGTAGGAGCTATACTGTTCAGAGAGTGCTTTAGAAAAGTTAAAAATCATAGTCCTTTTTGTTGTTTGCTTTTCTTGAGAACTTTTATGAAGTTTGGGGATTTTTCAATATTTTTTCTAAGTAATCTTCTTTTTTCCTAACATATGATGTATGTTCACGTTGGGGTATGGAAAATATAAGATTTAGCTCTATAAATATTCTTACTAAAAGTTGTTTCTTACTTCTAAATCATATATAAGGTTTTAAAATATGAAAATATTCTGCAAACTGGGGTGATATGAATTAATAAAAAAGATGACAGAACTAACCTTTTTTTGGTCTTATTTTTACTATTTTCTTTTTTGGTACTGGGAATTGAACTCGGGGCCTCGCGCTTGCTAGGCAGGCGCTGCGCCACTGAGCCACATCCCCAGCCCGACAGAACTAAACTTGACATGAATTCACAGATTCACCATGCTCCCTGAACCCTAAAGAGGAAAAACACAAAGGCAGTTGTGCCAGTCCTAATCAAACTTCTAAGAATAAAAGAGAAAAAACGGTTGAAAGCACAGGGGAAAGAAAAGCGAACAGCAATTCAAATGAGTGGACACAGTGACACTTGAATATAAGGGGATGGCAGAAAACACACTGTCATCCCTGCTCCCTCTTTTGTTACTCTCTACTACGCATTTCACAATTTCATAGGGTTGAACTGCTGGTCTCACCTCTACATCTTTACCCACGTAGTTTGTTGTCTAATAACAGAAGCTTTCCTCATCTGGCTAACTCCTGATTTGCCCCTCAGCTTCCTTTCAGAAATCAACCCTAACAAACTCTGACAACAACCTAGGCTGGACTAAGAGTTCCTTTGGGCTCCTGAACAATCTTGGATGCATCTCCTTCCCTGGACTTTCCATATTATAATGAAATAATCTGCTAAAGTATTTTTCCTGTCCTGAACGTTTCTCTAAGGCAGTAAACGCAGTGTTCAATTTTTTTCCAGGGGCCAGCGAGATTAAAGCGGATTAAAGCACTTGCTTAGACAAATATAAGCAGAACCAGGGACCACGGTTTGATCCCCAGATCCATGTGCCGCGCCAGCCCTGCCCCCGAGGGCTTGCCGAGCCCGCCAGAATACTGGGGTGGGGTGGGGTGGGGGAGGGGCGTAATGGCGCAGGCCTGTAAACTCAGTGCTGGGGAGGTTGAAAGTCGGAAGATCACCTCAACTCCGGGCTGCACAGTGAGACCCTGCGACAATCAAATACATTAAACAAAGAAAAAAAAAATTTTTTTTCTTTCCTCATGCAGCCCAGAGAACATATCCGATAAACACCAACTTTTTAAAAATTCTAATGAAACAGCCATAAAAGAGCGGAAGGACCCAGTTTCCCCATCACACACTTTCCCACTGCGACCCAAGCCATTCCGCCGCCGGCGCAGCAGCACTCCCAGTCCCACGCTAAGAGGAAAGGCTTGTGTTCATGCCCAAAAGCCACACACCGCCCGTCTCACGTTGTCCCTGGCCAGGATGCGGGCCGATGGCGCTCGCTACTTTCCACACGCGGTCAGTGCCCCTCCCCACGCTTCCGGCCCGCGCCACTCAACCGCGGGGCCGCGCCACGCAGTGCTCACCTTCTCCAGGGCAGCTCCTCATCTTCCAGGTCGCTGTCTGCCACAGACCCTTCAATCATAGTTTCGTCACTGTCCCAGTCTGAAACCTGGTGGCCTTCCTCCATCTCTTTTTAAAACTCCCTCTGAACTTCTCCTTTCTCGCAAACAAAACGATACCTTGCTGGCCAGCGGAAAGTAAGCTGAAAAACACTAATGAAATCTGTGGAAATAACCAGGCCCCACCGAGCGTCGAGAGGTCGACGACCCGCCGCTCCGGCTCTGCAGTCACCCGTGTCGCCGGCAGGAAGCACTTGGCAAAGTCCCGCCCACTCGCCCTGTGACCGGAAGTGGCGTGTCGCGCACGCACTCTGGGCTTCCGGTGTACTTCCGGGGTAGCTCCGCTGCCCTGGTCTGCACGCTCTCTGGTTGGGTCACAAGGGAACTGGGTTTGCTGTGGCAGGAACCAGGGAAAGAGCTATGTTTCGGTTATACCTCAGGGCAAGCCCAGGCGTCAGGTCACCTGCAATGTAGCTGATGCTTGTGATCCTGATCCGGAAGAGCCACCAGCTCCAGCTCGCTCCTGTGACCCTTAGTCTCGTTCCCAGAGTGATGTTTGCAGTCCACTAGTCAAGCCGCCATGCGCTTCCTTTCACTTAATCCTTTTGATGCCCCATCCCCGAGGGTTTGCAAAGGTAGGCAAACCTTATGTTTACTGGAAGCTTTCAGTTAAATTTATCTAATTGGTGTGTTTGTATTTTTCCTTCTTTAGTCCTGAAACATAGGTTGTGTGAGGAAGATAACCTAATAGCTTTATTTTTCCCTCTTTATCAAATTTTAGAAATAATAATGCTGCCTAGAAACCTCCAAAAGTAATTTTTTAATAAAGTGTTAGAATTGTGTGTATTTGATGTGTTTCAATGTACTTGAAAGTTTTAAAAGTACATGTAGGCTCCACACAATAAATCTTACTGCATTTTCGTAAATAAGTTTTAATTGCCTAGTGTCGTCTGATGTTTTAAATGTGTAAATGCAACTTATAATCTTAGCACAGCTAGGAAATCACTCAAGAGAACATATACCTGTGGCTAAGCCATGCTACACTAATGTAAAACAAAGTCAAGTGAGCTTCTACTTGCCAAGGAAGAGGAGGATTCAAGGCAAAACTGAGCGACTTTCCTGCAGCAAGTATTTAGTATTCATCTTGGATTCTCTAATGTCCAGCACATATTAAATTTTCAAAACTGCATTAATTTAGAGTTTTCTGACTCCAAGATTCACTGCCCTTGTCATTGCATGGATTGACTTTTTCACTGTATGTTGTATTATTTAAGTTTATATTTAAGTTACTGATTTTTTTTTTTTTTAACGTATTTAGTACAGGGCCCACAGGGTCTCACTATATAGATCCGACTCATAGTGATCCTCCTGTTTTCAGCCTCCCGAACACTGGGATTACAGACATGCGCCACCATG